CTTAGCTTGTAAAGTCCCTGCGAGTGAGACACATTCAGGGCTGAGGTTGAGACAGTGAAGGGAGAAGAGGTACGACTCTGACGATAACAACAAGCCAGAAATGAATGTGAAGCAGACAAGGCTGCTCAAAGAGAAAGTTCACATCTTTCACTGTCAGGGTCTCCTTCTCTCCCGTATGAAAATATCCCATCACACTGCGCCGCATCCCTCTTGGCCGGAGCTTCGCATCAGAACATACCAGGGGGCCGGCGAAACCAGAGACAACAGCAACAAATACGGCCTTGTATTTTTAGGTAGTGACTATAATGCTCCTTTCACAGTTTAATGCTCGAGGGGAACATAAAATAATAATAATACTTAGAAAGCAGCATCCAGATCAGAGTCAAACCTTTGCTGCAGACATCTCGAAAAAACACAAAACAAGCGTGGACAAAAACTAAACTGGCTCCAGTTTTTTTTTTTTCCAGAAGATACATTGTTAAAAGCTGCAGATACTAGCTGTTTGAAAATGATTTAGTTGTTGTTGTTATGTATCATGCAACATCTTTTCAAATTAAAAGTCCAACTTTTTTTGCAGGAATACATATCGTTTGTTGCCCTTCACGCCAGAGTTAGAGACATTTTCTTGGAAATAAAAGCATGTTAAATCTAAATCCAGTGTAGCAGTTTTCTGGATGACCTACCTGGACGAGTGTGTTGTGAATGAGCCTCAGCTACTACCACACTCAGTTTGGACTCAGTATCTGCACCATTCACTGATTTGTGTGTTTGCTCAAAGGGATTAGCTTTTGGTTGGAGTGAGGACGGAGGATGTGGAGGACAGGGTGAGATGGAGAGGGAAGACTCGCTGTGGCGACCCCTGAAGAGGGAAAAGACAAAAGAAGAAGCTAAAATGGATTAGCTGTAGTAGCCATTTTGAATCTTGTTGACTCCAAAAATGTGTTATCTGTAGATGCACGCCCAATGATTACATTCTAAGACTGGCATTAATATTAGTCTACTGGTTTATGAGATATTTTGCTAACAGACAGACAAATGAACACACATAAAGACAAGTAGTTACATGATTTCATAACGATAGATAGATAGATAGATAGATAGATAGATAGATAGATAGATAGAT